TATGTTTTTTTGACGTTGTTTTCCCGCGATTTTTGTTTTGGTAGATCGATATTGTTTCTCCGAATCTCGCTAGATGGCTAATCACTCGTACTACTATTTGTTGTCAAAGCGATGTGTTTTATTGTTGTAATAAAAAAATACGCGGGAAAAGAGTTAAATGACTTTGCCGAAGTGTGTCAAGATCTCGACGGTAAAAATAATTTCACTAATATAATAAAATTGTAAGGAGACGATGTCTGTACATGGGGTGTGCGAGATACATACATACATACATATCTGTCACGCCTGTCTCCCATTAGGGTAGGCAGAAACAATGGTGTGCGAGATATTTAAGAAAAATTAATATGAGGTGTAAATAGTTTAAATAATAATTTTTAGACATTTTTCTGTCTGTATATTTGTTCCGTACGCAAAAATAACTGCATCGAATTGCTTTTCCAATTATGATCCTAAAGGTGTAGCTTAAAATCTGATGTTTTATCTCAATACCTAAAAGTAATCTATTTTATTAGCTTTCCCACAAAATGCGAGCTTATAAAATAGCAGGGAAAAAACTAGTTAGAAATATTAAACATAAATAAAGTGTTTTTTAAAATTAAGAGATAATTATGAGGTTGCTGTGCGTCAGGGGTATTCTCTGGAAATCAGTACGATTCTAGAATAAAGGCATACGGCTATGAGACTCCGGCCTCCCGAGCCGCTGCAGTGTCCCAGTCCTTTCCGCTACTGTAGTGTCCCCCCCACCCTTCCCCTTTCCTTTCCCACATAACTCCCTTATTCCTCTCATTCACCAATTTCCTTTACGCATTTCCAACGTTCCCTTTTTTTTTCTCAATCCTTACCTCCATATCGTAGGTGGTAGAAAGCACCAACAAATGCATTCCCAAAGAGGGTTGATGTCAGGCAGGCGGCCGGTCGTAAAACTATAAGCCAAATCTTTTTGGCTTGATAAAACAATTTTTTTGTTTTTAATGGGTGATAATGAAATGGTTACCCTGCCTGTGCCACCGGTATACACTGGCGGGGCACCAGTGAGAGATGATAGGTGAGGATGAAGCAGGTCAGTTGGCCCATCGTGACGAATTCAACAAGAATTGTTCACGATGGTATCCAGGGGAAACCACGTGGAAGTCGACCTGATAGGGTATATTGCTAGCAATGGAGCTGTTATACTCCATTGCTAACAATTCCTTTCCCCCGATAAAACCATATTACGCGGACCCCATATAATAATTGGGGTGAGGGTAGGAAGATGACGATGTGAGGTTACTGTTTAACCCTTAAATACCTGAAGTTTCAGATTTGATACCGGGGTTATAAATCGCATTGGGCGCCTACAATCAATTTTATTTTAATATTTGGCTGTTTACATGTTACCAAATGTTTTTTTTTTAAATAAATATATAAAAATATCGTTCTGTTTTTTTTTACTATTTTTCCCCATTAGTAAAAAAGTGTACCCTTATATATTTTTTAATTTGATTTGAAAAAATCAGTCTTTTAAGCGTTAATTATTGAATAAACGCTCTTAAACATGACATGAACATCTGGCAGACACCAAGAATATTGTGTTAATTACAATTTTGGACCGGTGATGAATAACACCTATAGGAAACCAGTTTAAACCAAATCAAGGCGGATCTCTGACACAATTATACACTTCTTGTTTTATCTATTTTGAAAATTCATCCGATGAGAATAAACAAACGTAAAAGGCCAGTAGAATTTGATGATGCACTATTATCGGTTGCTCAACGGCGGAATAGACAATCCTGCAACTCTTAGCCGTTGTTCTTTGTACGCACCCCAACGCTGCATGCGATTGCGCGCGTGTCGACTACTATCGGCACAGCCGGTTCGCACCTGTACTGCTCAGTTTGCTCCCACTTATCAGGCTATTTCTCTGGTCAACTCTCTGATTGCTCAGCAGCCAGATATTGACATATTTAATGACAAAATAGATATATTTTTAAAATGTTGTACCAAATTTGTAAGTTTGTAAAAAACCTATGGCTCACTACACGTTTTGGGAGACTGTAAGTGTGGTGAGTAATTTTCAAATAAATAAATAAAACATATCAATGTAAGTAGCATTATTTTTTATTAAAAATAAAACAATACCTCCATAAATAAGCTATAAATTTATACAAGCATAGTTGTAAAATATCAATTATTTACAAATATTACTTACTTAATAATGGTGAATGTATTCCATAAAAAAAAATGACTTCGACCGTCGCAAAATCAATTGTTTATTTAAAAAATCCAGTTCTTAATGATTTAAAAACTAAACTGAACTAATTTTGATAAAATCTCTATGGGACCAATCTAACCCTTTCAGACCTGAACGATACGGGCGTGAGTTGTAACTTTAAAACATTCTAAAACCGTGCGCAATTCATTTTTACGCACGAAGCTGAAATAACATGATAGTGAGATCCTAAACCAGCCAATAAGAAATCATTTTAGCGGTTAGGTGGTGCAGTAGTCTCGTGCGTGCCGGCAAGATGGCTTTGCTCCAAAACACGAAAATACATTTAATCTGAAAGAAAAAAAATCTTGGGTCTGAAAGGGCTAAAAGTCTTTCAAACAAAGAAGAATTTTCCGAAACTGTCTAGGAGTATTCGAGTGATCGGAGAATATACATAAAAAAATATAAAAAATCCGACGAATTGCAAACCTGTTTTTTTTGAAGTCGGTTTTTTAAATAGCGACTGTCATACAGAAAAAATTGCTTCAGGTGAGAGTTTGAGTATTTAAACCTAATATCAAAATAGGTATTACACGAAACAAAAACGATGTATCTACATCGGGGGTGTCTAACCGGTCGATCGCGCCGGTAAATTCGAGTTTAACTCTTACACTGTTATTTTAATTAATAACTTTAAAGGTCTTAACCAATTTTGCTTTCATATTCACATACCCTCATGGGTGAGTAGTCTGCTTTAGTATTTATTTATTTCTATCCATTATCAAGGTATATTTTTTTGAAATATTTTCAAAATTTGTAACAAATTTATTTACTGTTTGTTTTATTTACATTATTTTTACCTGTACCTTTCCTGCACTGGATTACCTGCCAATTAATTATTTTCTCTCGCAACTACACTGGGTTGGCTGGAAGAGATCTCTATTAGAGATAAGCCCACCCTTGCCAACAAGTTGTTAAACTAATCGCTGTATCTTTTTTTTATACAACTTAGAATGGCAAACAAGCTGACGGCCCACCTGATGGAAAGTGGTAACCGTCGCCTATAGACATGAGCAGTACCATGTACATAACAGAGTATACTGTTTCGCCAATGATACCCCCCATGCGTTGCCATTCCTGAAGACTCAGGTGTTATTCCTCTGTACTCAGTAAATTCACGCCACATCCCACCCTTCAAACCGAAACACAACCATGCAAACACAACTGCTTCACGGTTGAAACACGAATGTGACAGAGGTGCCCAAGCAATCGACGTTTGTACAGTCTCCCTCCCGCTGTATCTATTGTTCAAATGCAATAAAGAATATAAATAAATGAGCAGAAAATGTATTAAGTGTCTTGGATGGACCCACGTGAATAAATGCAGTTATTTTCATTTTAATACAGAATTTAAGTCACTGCTTGAAAACTGAACTTCGATTGCATTGAAGTTGGCCTCGCTGTTAAATAATTATATTATTAGTATATATCAGTGATATATCAGTGAATATATATATATATATATATATATATATATATATATATATATATATATATATCAGTGAATCTCAACCACTGTGCCGCGACACTTTTGTGTGCCGCCAAATTTTAAAAGTGCGCCGCCAAATTTTGCAAATATTTAAAATTTTTGTCATAAACTATTTGTTAAGAATTGTAGCTTAAATAAATTTCGCCTGGCAACATTTTTACAAAATAAAAAAAAAGTCTGTCGGTTGTTATCGAATGTGTCGGTAGAACGTACGTTCGTTGTCGTCGTTCTCGTTTAAAAATATTATCGCACGCGTGCATATATTGCCGCGAATATCGTTTGTCTTTTCGTATCGCTTTTTTAATCATATCACACATAACCAAGAGGCTGATTGAGAGGAGGGCATTGCACTGCTGGTCGGTTCAAGGCGGTGGATAGGTAACCTGGATCTGAGGGTAAGTTCGAACGAGCCAGAAGTACTGGGAAGCCTAAAGCCAGAACCGAATCCTGCAAACTACAAAGTTTCAGGTCAGTGGTCTCCACTTTCATTATCCTCTTGTGTTTCTTATGTTAACTACCACCATTGTATTAAAATTTCATACAGTCCACTAATAACCGTTGCCGGACGATTAATTTCATTTTTTGTAAGATCTTATTTTACGAACGGTCAACATTTTGTTGGTCCTTCGGCGGATTTTGTTGTAAGGCGATCTTTGGATAATTTAGTGTAATTTCGAGTTTAAAAAACTAATTTTCGTAATTCTTTCGCATTATTAATTTTTTGTAAAAATAAGTGGGTACTTTTACATCATACATTAGCAATCAGGATTTCTTCCATTTTGACGCCATATTGCGTTTCGTTGTATTAATTTCATGAAACGTTTTGTTCCATCATTTTGTCGCAATAAATCTCGCCGATCGTTTTTATTGAAATAACTTTTTGCAAAATAATAAAAACATTATTCATTGAATATAAATAAATATTTTCATTGTTAATATTGATAATTTAAAAATCGTAATTCTTTATCTAAAATATTTAAATTGATTTTGCGCTAATAAAACTTATCGTTTCAGAACGTATCTTAAAAGTGACTGTCAATGTAAAAATTGATTGTCATATTTTGTTTTCGTAATTTGGTTGTCAATTTCGTTTGTTTTGATTTTGTTGTTTGTTATTTTCCAAGTTATTTCATTTTATTTGGATATTGCGTTGTAATTAAAAAATAGTTATTTTGTTAAACAATGGAAACCAGTCGTTCATCGTTGGATGCAGGCGATAGAAATCGCATTGGGCGTGATTATGCTTTTGCCCGCATAGAAATGATGGAGGGCACCGATTTAATTGGTTATAGTTTACAGGATGTAAAGGATATTGAGGATGATTTCCATAAGTCACAGTTGGAACTATTAACATCGTTGTCCGGGAGTGATACATCCAGTGAATTAAAATTGTCATTTCGTTTTGAGCAAATAGTAAAATCAATAAAACATCGTTTGAAAAATATAGAACAGAAACCTGTTATATCGTCTAGTGGTAGTAGTAATATGAAATTACCCAGAATTATTATAAAACCCTTTGACAGCCGTATTGAAAATTGGGTCTCTTTTATTCAGTTGTTCGACTCACTAATTCACTCTAAAGAGATAGCACCAGTAGAAAAACTTCATTACTTATTGTCAAATGTTCAAGGTGAAGCTTTAGATTTAATAAAAAATTATCCCCTTTGTGATGAAAACTATTTGTTAGCATATAACACCTTAAAACACAAATATGAACAAAAAAGAGTCATCGCTACTGTCTTTTATGAAAGATTATTATATTGTGAATCAGTGAAGTCAAAGAGTAGCTTAGAATTAAACAGAATTTGTCGAACATTTAAAGAAAATTTAGATATACTTTCGAAATACCAGTTACCTGATAGTAATTTCATGTTATTTAATTTGTTGTGGAGTAAATTGGATGCAGTAACAAGGGAAGCATTTGAGTTACAACTGGATTCAAATGTTGATATACCTAAATATGAAAATTTAATTAACTTCATAGAAAAAAGAAGTCGAGCCTTGGAGAATTCAAACACATCAAAGTCAAATATTATTACTAGTAAACCAACAATTAGGTCAAAACCATCGCTTATTGTGCCTTCGGTTAACTGTATTGCTTGTTCTTCTTCCAGTCATAGTGTGGAGAAGTGTTCAAAATTCAATAGCTTGTCACCCTTTGAAAGATTCTCTTTAATAAAAGAAAATAAACTGTGTATTGGATGTTTTCGGCCCTCACATATTGTAAAGAATTGTAGAACATTTAGCAATTGTTCTAAGTGTAAATATAGACATCACACTTTACTTCATTTTGACAAAGGTGATAATACAGAGCTTTCACCGCAAGCTTCAGCAGTTACCACCACCTTGGCTGTATTGGGCACTGAAACTCAAGTTTTGTTTTCAACTGCAGTTGTTCTCATTAAAACTAAATTAAATAAATGGACACCTATTCGTATTCTTTTGGATAGTGCTAGTGCTTGCAATTTTATTACACACACCTGTGCAAGGAAACTTGGACTTCACATTGGGAATACCAAACAATCTGTTAGTGGTATTGGTCATGTGTCAGCGGACACACTTGGATCAGTCGCTTGTGAAATTATTCCATCAAATGGTGATGTCACTTGTAAATTTTCATTTGAAGCTTTTGTTTTACCAAAGATTTGTTCAGATATGCCATCCGGACAAATTGATGTCTCGGCTTGGAAACATATTCTGGATTTGGATCTTGCTGATCCCTCGTTCCACATACCTGGACCTATCGATATGTTAGTTAGTGTTAACATTTTGACATCAGCACTTCAAGAAGGCCTTGTCAAAGGCAATGTAGGTCAGCCCATTGCTGTTAGCACTGTATTCGGCTGGGTAGTGATGGGAGAATGTGCTACTCATGTTGATTCTTATCGTTCTCATTGTGTCTCTAGTTCCACAAACAATGATTGTCTCTTTGTTTCAAGTTGGTCTTTGGACAGCAATATTAAACGTTTTTGGGAATTAGAAACTATTGATCCCCCCAAATCTGTCGTACTTTCGAAATCAGAATTATCGTGTGAAAACTATATGAACGCTTCATATTGTCGTAGTCCTGAAGGTAGGATGGTAGTACCATTAACTTTCGTTGACCCTCAGGCGAGGCCCAAGTTTTGTAATTCTCGTGAGATTGCTCTCAAGCGTCTTTTAAATTTGGAGAGGAAATTTAAAACAAACCCTCTATTTCGGACTGCTTATGTCAAATTCATGGATGACTATTTTCAAAGTGGTCACATGGAGGAAGTTGAACCACCTTCATCGAATGATGGTAATTTTTATTACATTCCGCATCATGGAGTGATGCGGCCTGACTCGGCTACTACTCCTTTGCGTACAGTATTCGATGCAAGCGCCAAGGATACTACAGGAAGGTCCTTAAATGATTCTTTATTACCGGGCCCTAAGCTGCAAAAGAACATTTTTGACTTGTTAGTCAGATTTCGTTGGCATGCAGTTGTGTTCACTGCAGATATCAAGCAGATGTATCGTCAATTTCTTGTTCATCTTCGAGACTGTGATTATCAACGCATTTTGTGGCGTCCTTCTCCGAATGATCCTGTTAGGGATTTTCGATTACTCACAGTGACTTATGGTGTATCCTGTGCCCCATATCAGGCTCTTTGGTGCATTGCTAGGTTGGCAAAGGAATTTTCGTCTCTTGCTTCACGTGGTAGTGCAGTATTAGCTAGAGATACTTACGTTGATGACGTCGTATCAGGCGCCGATTCTGTAGAGAATGCTCTGCAAATACGTCAGGAATTAGTAGAAATTTTGTCGTCGGGTCATCTTCACTTGCGTAAATGGACTTCAAACTGTCCAGAATTTCTAGAAAAGGTGTCAGATTCCGACTTGTACTCGGAGCAACTTCGTGATTTTGAAGATGTTCGTGATGTTTCGGTTAAAATATTGGATCTTTCATGGTTTCCTGGGGATGATCTTTTTACATTTAAGACATCTTCCAGTGATACTCGTTGTACCAAGCGATCCATTCTGTCGGACATCGCTAGAATCTTCGACCCATTGGGTTTGTTAGCACCAGTGGTATTTCTGGCAAAATATTTGATACAACTTTTGTGGTTATCGGGTGTCGATTGGGATAGTGATGCTCCCGTCACTATCAGTCAAGAGTGGTCTAAATTTAAATCACAATTGTCGTCGTTAAGTTCGTTTTCCATTCCTCGCAGAATGGTCGAGTCTTTCGAGTCATTACAACTCCATGGGTTCTGTGATGCCTCGGAAAGAGGTTATTGTGCCGTCATATATTGTCGTGTCGTTAAGAATGATGGTTCTGTCGTCGTGCGCTTGTGTTGTGCAAAATCAAAGGTAGCTCCTCTACGTAAGTGCTCAATTCCACGTTTGGAATTGTTAGCAGCTGTCTTATTGTCGGACTTAATTTGCTCATTTGTCGATGCTTTAAAAGAGTTTTATCCCTTTAGTAATATTTATGCTTGGTCAGATTCAACTGTCGCTCTGACTTGGATTCGTGCTTGTCCATCTAAATGGAAAACTTTCGTGGCTAATAGAGTGGTAAATATTCAGGAGAAAGTCCCTCCGCAAAATTGGCATCACGTTTCTGGGTTTGAAAATCCAGCGGATTGTGGTTCTCGCGGCTTACTTCCTGTTGATTTAGTTCAGAATACGTTATGGTGGGCGGACCTGCCTGGCTCTCCAACCCTGAAGTGTCGTGGCCACATTCAGAGATGTCGTTCGATCAAGCCGCTGCTGATGAACAAAAGATTTATAGTCTTTTCACAGCCTCTAATATGTCGTTTATAGATGATTTATTAAATAGATTCTCGTCGTTACAGCGCGCCTTGCGTATTTTGGCTTATTGTTTTAGATATATTCATAATTTGCAAAACCCTATGCTGAAAAATAATTGTAATTTGTCGGGTGCAGAGATAAATCAAGCGTTTCGTTTTCTAGTGAGGCATGTTCAGGAGCGTTGTTTTGCATCAGAATTTTGTAGTTTATCGAAGGAAGGATCGTCGCTTTCCATTTCCAAACCCATTCGAAAGTTGTCTCCATTCTTGGATGAACATGGTCTTTTGAGGGTGGGCGGTCGGCTTTCCAAGGGAAACCTAACTTATGATGTCAAACATCCAATTTTATTGCCTCGTAATCATAGATTAACAACACTCATTATCGAAGAGTATCATCATCGGTTTATGCACCCTGGTATGCAAACTTTGAAAAACTTATTATCTCAAGAGTTTTGGATATTGTCTTCGAAGAGAGCTATTCATGCAGTAATATCCTCGTGTGTAAAATGCTTTCGTGCTCATCCTAGAGTTGCAGCGCCACCTATCATGGGTAACTTACCAGCGTGTCGTATCAATCAAATAAAGCCATTTTCGGTTTCGGCAGTCGACTATGCTGGTCCTTTCGATATTAGTTTGGGTCGTGGTCGTGGTACACGTACATTTAAATCGTACGTATGTGTTTTTGTATGCACTGCCACCAAGGCAGTGCACCTTGAACTCGTGTCTGAGTTAACTACGGAAGCATACCTAGCAGCTTTAAGGCGCTTTATCGCTCGGCGCGGTCGTTGCTCTCGGTTGATTTCGGATCAAGGTAGAAATTTTATCGGTGCAGCAAATGTATTGCATGACTTGCTGCAAAATGCTACGCATGTAGAACAAATTGAATTTGTCTTTAATCCACCCGGTAGTCCGCATTTTTCCGGTTTAGCAGAAGCTGGTGTGAAGTCAATAAAGACTCATTTGTCTCGTGTAATAGGTATACAACGTCTTACTTTCGAAGAGTTTTATACCGTCTTAGCTCAAATAGAGGCCATGTTAAACTCAAGACCTCTATCGCCTATCAGTTCGGATCCCAATGACTTTTCGGTGTTGACTCCTGGTCATTTTCTCACCATGGAACCTCTCACTATATTACCTGAAAGTAATCTAGTTGATATAAAATTAGGACCGTTGCAGCGTTGGAAATTGCTACAAAAAATCCATCAGGATTTCTGGCGCAAGTGGCATTTAGAGTACTTGCATACCTTGCAGTCGCGTCTCAAATGGTACAACAAACAACAGGAGATTGATGTCGGCACTCTTGTTCTCATTGTCAATGAGCAATTCAGTCCAATGAAATGGAGGATTGGTCGAGTAGTCAAACTTCACCGTGGTACTGATGGAGTTTGTAGAGTCGTTACCATTCGAACCAATTCTGGTGAATGTAAGAGGCCAGTCGTTAAACTGTGCCCTCTACCGTTATCAAATTAAAGACCTTTGTTAAATTTTTGTCGTTTAACTTGTCGTTATTTATCGTTAAATTAATTGTGTCGTTTGAAAGGAAACCTATTGCTAATGTGTAATTAGGAAAATATGTTGTATTTTGGTGGGCGGAATGTTAAGAATTGTAGCTTAAATAAATTTCGCCTGGCAACATTTTTACAAAATAAAAAAAGTCTGTCGGTTGTTATCGAATGTGTCGGTAGAACGTACGTTCGTTGTCGTCGTTCTCGTTTAAAAATATTATCGCACGCGTGCATATATTGCCGCGAATATCGTTTGTCTTTTCGTATCGCTTTTTTAATCATATCACACATAACCAAGAGGCTGATTGAGAGGAGGGCATTGCACTGCTGGTCGGTTCAAGGCGGTGGATAGGTAACCTGGATCTGAGGGTAAGTTGAGCGAGCCAGAAGTACTGGGAAGCCTAAAGCCAGAACCGAATCCTGCAAACTACAAAGTTTCAGGTCAGTGGTCTCCACTTTCATTATCCTCTTGTGTTTCTTATGTTAACTACCACCATTGTATTAAAATTTCATACAGTCCACTAATAACCGTTGCCGGACGATTAATTTCATTTTTTGTAAGATCTTATTTTACGAACGGTCAACACTATTCATGCAGTGTGTTGTAGTAAGTAAATGATTTTTATCTTTTTCTTTGTGTGCCGCCAAATTTTGAAATCGTTAAATATGTGCCGCAACGAAAAAAAAAGGTTGAGAATCACTGATCTAGGTTATGTTTTCATTCCACATCTTTAAGTGTATAACTGCTAAATTCAGTCCAAACTTAACTGAAACATTTACAAAACTATCTGGTCACTTCATCATCCACCACTTCAATCGGAGGGCAATCCTTGAAGACCTGCTGCAGTATCTCCTGACAGTATTCTTTCTCTTCTATATATGACTCCTCCAATTCTGGATGTTTGAGATGATCTTCTAGAACCTTCTTGAGGTTGAGACGAGGGTTCCTGCACTGTTGCAGCACAGTCGGGTCCAGACCCTCTACTAGGGCGAGGAGAATGCCCAACAGATGTTCGGTAGTGTCATCTCGTCCCGACTTGATTTGTTCCACCACTGTTTCCACAACGTTGTTCTGTATGAATTGTTCTGAAAATATAAAACAAAAATGTACCCTCTTATTCATAACACCATCAAACTGCTTATAAAACCTACTTAAACTATCTCTTTCTTTTATACTAAATTTAGTTTGCATGAAAGTGACAAAACAGTGTAAATAATAGTTAAAACAGATTTGACAGTATTATATAATAGTTAAGACAGATTACATTTTCGTTTTTATGAATAAGGGAGTAAGGAATTGTGTTCTGAGGAATTGATCTTTTTTTTTACAACACAGGGGGCCAACGAGCATGCGGCTCACCTGATGGTAAGTGACTACCGCCGCCCATGGTCACCTACAACACCTACGGCATTGCAGGTGTGCTGCCGGCCTTATCGTATCGGCTCGGATATACTGCTACTGGAAATTGATTCCAAAGAGTGGTTGTGCGTGGAAGAAAGTGCCTTGAAAAACGCACGGTGGAGGACCGCCACTCGTCCAGATGGTTGGGATGAAATTTTAGTTTATGGCGAATTGTACGGTGTTGAAAATCAGCAGCAGGTATCAATCCGAACAATTCCTCAGAGCACTCCCCATGATAAATTCGGTAGAAGATGCACAGAGATGCAACATCTCTACGCAGTTTCAGTAGGTCGAGCCGGACAGTAAGACGCCGATCGTCAACAATTCGAGCTGCTCGACTTTGAATGCGGTCTAACGGAAGGAGTTGCTACTGCGGCGCTCCTGCGCACAGGTGAGAACAGTATTCCATGTGATTATTTGATGTGATGCCTACAGTCACTTTTTATCATCGCACCGCTCGCCATCGACAGGGAATTCATTCTTAGACACTTGAACCTAAATGGTCATATACAGTGCGATTTTAAAGGAATTTTCTCTGATGAACACTCAAGTTGTGGAATGAGTCCCCTCCCGAGGTTTTAGTAGGACATTGTTGTTCAACAAGGTAAGTTCGCCTTTGCTAACATTGTTATTACTGTATTATACATACTGTATTAAAACATACAGTAACAACTTATTGTTGTTACTCTATGTTTTAGCGCAATAAAGAATATATATATTGTTCCTTACGTATACGTAATAATACGATATTTCCTATATTAATAAATGCTATTAATTTTCGATACTTTTAACCCTTCTTTGCATAACGGTGGAAATTTCCATCATAACATTAAATTCCCAAAAATTATATAAAAGAACATGTTCACTTTAAGTTGATCGTGTCCGGATACCTTTTTAATGTCCATTGCAGAAAAAAAAAACATAGCTGTCAAATTTATTTTCTTAACCATTTTTCCTTTAATTTTGAACATAAATTATATCACCTTGATTTATTTTACCAATAAAAAAAAATTATGCAAAGAAGGGTTAAATGACTACCGCATACTAATGACTATACCTTTAGCATCGCTGTAGTGGTGCGCAAGGTGCCTGACGAGGAATGCGGCGCGGGTCCTGGCGGCCGGCTCCGGCGCCCGCAGTAGCGCTGCGAGCGCCGCCACGCCGTCCTGCCACACCAGCTCGCGCGCCGCCGGCTCGTACTCGCGGCATATGCCTGCCATCACCACGCAATTTTTTTATTATATGATAACCCCATATACCATAGCCGCATGTTCATTTGTCTCTGTACGCATGCGCTCGCGTGCGGCCGTGCGTGCGTGCGTGCGAAGCGTGCGTACGTGCGTGCGTGCGTGCATGCGTGTTTGTGTGTGTGTGTGTGTGTGTGTGTGTGTGTGTGTGTGTGTGTGTGTGTGTGTGTGTGTGTGTGTGTGTGTGTGTGTGTGTGTGTGTGTATATATATATATGTGTGTGTAGAGCATATGTCGAAATTTAATTTGAAACAGAGAAGGCCATAAGCTATTGCCATAAGCCTGGTTACATGGATAAAATTGCGGATTTTTTTATTAGACATAATGGGATAACAGAAAGAGCAAAAGAGCATGCGACTTAACTAATAATAAGTTATTACTATCGCCCATAGACATCCGCAATATCTAAGAAACTACAAGAGTGTTGCTGTTTTCTTGAAGGTTTCAGTATCATATCTGTTCAAAAATACTATTGCTTTTTTATGGATTATAATGGAATAGTACCCCGCCTGCGCTTACGGGGCACCATTGAGTGATGATAGATGGGAATGAAAAGACAGGTCAGTTAGCCCATCGTGATGAATACACCTGAAATTCAACTGTGGTTTCCAGAGAACACCACTTCGAGGTCGACCTGATAGAGTATATTTCTAGCAATAGGACAGATAGTCTGCATTACTAACTTTATCGTCCCCCTCCTAAAATACTACTGGTGGAAGTTGGTGCCTTGTTTTGGTCGGTTCCAACTCACATGATATAGCGTACAAGCACTTGGCGAGCGCGTGCCCCCGCTCGGACTGCACGAGGTGTATGAGCACGTTGAGCAGGCCGCAGTCGAGGGCGCGGCGCTGGCAGTGCGGGTTGTTCTGGCACGCCTCCGCCAGCACCGAGCTCGCGCGCGACCGCACCTCGTCGTTCTCGCTGCCGTAGCATACCGGAAAGATGGCGAACCCACCCATTTTGTAGAAGTCTGGAATGTAAAGCCCATCATGATGAATTCATCAGGAATTAATCATGACAGTTTCTGGAGAGAACCGCGAGGAGGTCGACCTGGTTGGGTATATTGCTAGCAACAGGATTCTCAGTCTCCATTACTAACACTCCCTTTCCCCCCAATATTGCTATATTACCCACCCCTATGTCAGATAAATATGACGGGATTGGTATGGGCATGAAAATGTTTCTCAGGTATACGTAACAGAGTGAAGGGTTAAATAAATAAAAATATTAAAAAAAAAAACACACCATTAGCAATATCGATATCATCAATATAATCCAGCAGGTTGTCGAATGCGGTCTCAACATCAGAAGGCAACGGTTCCCCGAGCTGGCTGCGGATCTTCTCTGTGTCTGTTAGCACTTTGATGGAACTCTGCAGCACCTCCGCCACATTCACTGTGAGACTCTTTAATGCGTCTTCGAGAAATTTCCGCCGCTGTGAATGATAAGTAATAACATTGCTTTAATATTTTAATATTTGCCATTCGCGTTTCTACCGTAAAGCAGTTGTATTTGCATTGCTGTGTTTCGGTTTGAAGGGTGGGATATGGCGTGAATTTACAGGGTACAGAGGAATAACACCTGAGTCCTCAGAACTGGCAACGCATGGGGGGTATCATGGGCGAAACAGTATACTCTGTTATGTCCATGGTACTGCTCATGTCTATAGGCGATGGTTACCACTTTCCATCAGGTGGGCCGTCAGCTTGTTTACCATTATAAGTTGGATAAAAAAATAATAATAACTTGATAACCTGGGGAAAGGAATTGCTAGTAACGGGGTCTAAGGACTAACTAGCAACTAACTGGACTTTTTTCACTGTACTGCCACAAAGTTTAGCAAGGTGGTAACAAATTATGCAAAACTGCATTTTTACTGTTTATTTTTATACTATAATTAGATATGTTATGATATGTATGATTTTTTTATTATTATTATTTTTCCATTATTGTATTATTACAATATTCTATTTTTGGTTTTTGATGAATGCATTGGTAAATCTGTAAAACTCACCAAAAATATGTATATATGTTATAAATAAATAAACTCTCATTCCATGTTAAAACATATGTAAATACTTTTTTTTCTAAGAATGGCAAACAAGCTGACGGCCCACCTGATGGAAAGTGGTAACCGTCGCCTATAGACAAACAAAACTGCTTCACGGTTGAAACACGAATGGGACAGAGGTACCCAAGCAATCAACTTTTGTACAAAGTCTCCCTCTGATAAAACATCAACAAAAATTTACATAAGGATTATTAATATAACTTTAGCAAAACTATGAGTTAAATACTAATATATTAATACCCTTACCTCTTCATCCATGGGACTGAATTCTGAGTTCCCTGGTGCATCTTCTGCTTTTGTTGCTTCCATTGCAAACCTCAGGAGACCCTGAAATAACCAAATCAAGTCCATTTAGTTTGTGACTTTTGCCTTATTTGCTAAAAAAATATTTACAAGCTGTTTAATATATGTTTTTAATCATTCACGTTTATATAAAAAAAAATATGTCATCAGATGACCAGCGAGGTTACAATAATAGAAAAGCCACACATACACAAAAAAAATCACATAGAGTAAAAGTGTTTTGTATTTAAAATTCACAAATAAATATTTCAATAATGATTGAACACGAAATATTTAAAACACAAGAATGTTTAAAATACTTATGTACTGTTTTTATGTAATAATGTTATTTAACTCCCTTCATCATCATCATCAGCCATTATCCGTCCACTGCTGAACATAAACCTCCTCCATATACTGCCGTAACAAACTCCCTTATTTTAATTGAAAAATTCATAAAATAATGAAATAAAAATGAAATTTTACAATGTTCAATTAAATATTATATCTTAAACATCATCGTTTCAGGCATTAATCCATTGTCCACTGCTAAACATATACCTCCCATATAGAGTGCCATAATGAATGTTCCAGACCACCTGCATCCATTGACTCTCTAGTACACATTCAAGGTTGTTCCATTTAGTTGGAGGTCATCCTATGTTAACCTGAACATTTGTATTAGTATGTAAAGTAACTAATTTACCATTGTCATCCATGTGAACAGTGTTGTAAATAGCAGGATGCAGTAATAAAACATATATGTATTTGTGATACAAAATAATAAGTTTAGTGAAAAATTACGAGACATGTCTTATAAAAATCTGACACAGAACAAACTTAAAAATAATACATTGTTCTAAAAAAACCTCAGTGTCAACAGCCAGTATTAAAACTCCAACAACCAAGATATGTTGAGTAACTATGAAAATGTTGCCCATGTCATTTTCGATCCAATAAAATAGTTTTGTGCCAAATTTCATAATTATTGTTTAAGCCATTAAGACAACAAGAGGTAACAAATATAAAAATCACTTTCAATTTTATAATAAACTGGATTTCACCTGTACATGAATACATTCATGGGATATATTTACTGACCAGGATAAGAAGTAACCTCTCGTTCTCCAACCCCTATGTATACCATATTTCATAGCCATTAGTTAAGCTGTTAAGACACTAAGAGGTAATAAACAAATTCACTTTCACATTCAATAAGGATTTAAGGTTTCGCCATATAAAAGTATCCCTTAACTTTATTTCTATAAATGATAAATTTAATTCAAATAAAACAATAAATTTTTATTTAGGGTATTTTAATTAAAATTTATTGTTTTTATTTGTGATAACATCTTTGTATTTATTTTTAATTTAATACCTTATGGTTGGGTGTTTCGGTGCAAATAGACACATATTTATATCCTGGCAGGTCGACCTCCATGTGAAACCATCTTATTAAATTCCAGGTGAATTTATTATGATGGGCTAACTGATCTGCCTTTTCATTCTCACCTATCATACCTCACTGGTGCCCCGCCAGCATATATTGTTAGCCCAGGTGATTACTATTCCATTAAAATCATTAAAAAAAAAATACACACATATTTTCAATTACAAAAAAATGTGTACATGAGTGAGAACTTTTACTGAGTAATATTTTATGAATGTATTTTTTTACGTAAAGTTATACAGATAAATAAGTTACCTGGAGACTCCTGGGCTGCCGCGGTTGTACAGGCACGGATTGCATATTCTGACTGCTAACAGGATATGTTATTGCACCAGCTATTTGGTTATTTTCAGGATTCGTACCCATTATTCAAAATTGAATAATAAAAAAACAATTGACAAACACTCAACTGTAACTAACAGGACATATATCTGTTCTCACGCGTCTTCTTTATATACTAACACAACAACGACGTATTGACGAATGAATAATGTACGCAAAGGAAAATAAAACACAATATTCTATTCTATTCGAGAAAATTCAAGAACGCCTAAGAAGATGGAATCATAGAAATCTTTGAAGAACACGCGGAATGCGTAATTCTGTTTTGACATTTTAATTTGACATTTTATTATGACATTGACAGTACTATTTGTTGTTGTTTTAATATTCGTCCAAATAAGACAGTCAAAGAGTATGGCCCATACAGCCTAGTCGTAAGTTATTATCAGTTCTTCATAAACGGGGAGAAAACTATTTCATAATATGTATTTTATATTAATCTTCATAGGAGTTGTAACTACCAAACGTCAGAGTTCTTAATACTCTTATCTCAAAGCTTATAGCTATACTGCCATATCTAAAAGTACTTACTTTCATATTACTTTTATATTAAAATGTTATTAATTACAAAATATTATTGATCCAGAAATTAAATGAAGATAACGGCTGTACAGACATATCCCTTTTGCCGTTTTTATTGATGGGGTAAATCTTAATTATTACTACGTAAAAACGTTATACTAAGTATATGGGGAAAAGAAATAAAAAAATATTGATACATAAGACTACTAACAATAATATTATTGTATTGCTAAAAAAATAAGCACAAAATATAACTTATAAAAAAAAAACTTATACAGTATTTACATTAAATTCTACTTAAATACTAATGATAATTCCCTCACTAGATGGAACACGACTTCAAATGCATTTTCTGTAGTGGTGGATGCAGGTGGCTCAGATCCATTCTTTATTTCTTTATGGCAGTCTATGAAGAAGGCCTATATTCAGCAGTAGACAGATAATGGCTGAGATGATGATGTCTGATGATAGTAAGTTTCTAATATTTTTAAATTATAATGCTCTACACTAAGGAACTTACTTTTTACTTTTAGCCATAAAAAATAAGTTAATATGATGTCGTGTGAATGTTCGTAGCTTAAGGTTTGCAGATAATTGTTCAATGAGTGGGTATATAAACAATTATTTGGAATACTGATGTTTTTAAAGTTATTTAATTAAATTAATTAATTAACATTTCTGAATAACTCAAGTCGTGAGCTAATTACGAATTTATTTCTTTGTTTTTCTCACGACTAGCAGCGGGATGTTTTTTTTTTTCATAGTTTCCCGCGCTGTCAATATTTACAACTGCCGTAGGCACAATATACATTGCATTAATCTCTGATAATTCCTGAGATAAACTGTTTCGAGATAAACCAAGTGTAATAATATATTTTCATAACATCAGTGTCGACTGTGAATATGACTAAACGGCATTGTTGTAGATTAATTAATAATTTAAATAATTAAAATTAGGTAGAGTAAGGTCACTGCGGAATTGGAGTTTATACAACACAGGTCAGTACAGCTGTATATATATACATACATATTTAATGGCGAAGCAATTTTCTACTTAATTGTCGCTAAACACGTACCAAGTTAATTTATTACTAATAAAATAACTTCATTTATTATATTTGATTGTGCTTTACTTTTGACATTTGTTTTTTATTTTTTAATGTATGGTAACGGAATAACAACCCCGCCTGTGGCAACTGTATAAACTGGTGGACTACTATTGAGACATGGTAAGGTGAGGATGAAAAGACAGGTTTTTTTTATGAGTGATAATGAAATGGTAACCCCGCCTGCGCTATCGGTATACACTGGCGGGGCACCAGTAAGGGATGATTGGTAAGGATGAAAAGGCAAGTCAGTTAGGCCATCGTGACAAATTCAACAATAAATTAGTCACGATAGTTTCCAGGAGAAACCGCGTGGAGGTCGACCTGATAGGGTATATTCATAGCAATGAGGACTAACCTCCCCATTACTAGCAATCCCTTCCCTCCCGAAAAGGCAGATCAGTTAGCCCATCGTGGGTTCACCAGGAATTAAGCAAGATCCAGGCGAGAAATGAATTTTTGAATTTTTATTATTATAATTATGTCATCCGTTAACTTTCCACTGCTGAATATTGGCCTCTCCCATAAGAGAGGGTGTTGCCACGCTTGGTAGGTGGATTAGCAACTCTTCGACTTCAGTTCGATTACATCCATTTTCAGAGATGTCACCTCGACAGGACCACATACGAGAGACGGAACGAGTGTGTCTGCCCACGCAGCCGCGGCCGCCGCCCCCGCCCGCTCCTGGTCGCCTACAGAGACCTCTGCACGACCACCCCGCCAACTATATCCTACGACCCGCCAACACGACACGCAATACCGTCACAATCACAACGCGCTAAATATATAATTTGAAATTTGAAAATGGAACTCTTCGTTCTATAAGTGTGGTTTACATAAAAAAAAAGTTTTTATCGTGTTTTTTTTTTTTTTATTTTATATTTTCCTCATCTTCCTTGTACCGTACTGCAACACTTACTCAACAGTTTTTTCTTTTTTATACCATTGAAGTGACAAACAAGCATACGGCCCACCTGATGGTAAGCGGTTACCGTAGCATATTAACGCCTGCAATACCAGGGGTATTACGTGTGCGTTGCTGACTCTGAAGAAACCCCTTTACCCCCCTTTTGAAGAACCCCATGCTGTAGGCCAGTGATTCTCAACCACTGTGCCGCGACACTTTTGTGTGCCGCCAAATTTTAAAAGTATGCCGCCAAATTTTGCAAATATTTAAAATTTTTGTCATAAACTATTCATGCAGTAAGTGAATAATTTTTATCTTTTCCTTTGTGTGCCGCCAAATTTTGAAATCGTTAAATATGTGCCGCAACAAAAAAAAAGGGTGAGAATCACTGCTGTAGGCTCTTGGGAAAACCTCGGCAGGGAGATCATCCCATAACCTGAGTGTTCGTGGGAGGGAACATCTCTGAACCCGCGTTGTACACGACCATTTAGGCTGTAAGGTATGAGCGTGAACTCCCTGTCGATGGCGAGCCGCGCGATGGGAGAAAGTGGCCATGGTCATCGTATTGGTATTCATAAAAATAAATTTGTAAATATAAATATTTTTACCATCTGTCTACCAAGTCGACGTTTTAGACACTGTGATCCAAAACAGCGTAGTTTAAATACTGCATCCGCCACATCACATGCCTAATCAGAGAGTATCTTTTTTTTTTTTAATGAGGGTCGTTGACACTGATACATGCCTAGACAATGGCGGACCGGCATGAACGTAGTGGGTAGGCCGTGTAAATTATTACAACGGAACGGTCACCATACTACCCCGCAAATTGGATATTAATCGCTTGGTTGCGACGCCCTCTGTGTGACACTACACTTGACTACTACGAGACTGTCTTATTTGTTACGTTGTAAATCTTAATATTATGTATCTATTTTAAAAGAAAACTGAAACTGTTTAATATATTAAGGACTATTACTGCATCAAGCGGAGTATTTAGTAGTAGAGGGTAAAGAAATGGTAATCCGTCTGCATTATTGGTATAAGTTGAAGGGGCATCAGTCAGTTATGACAGTTGAAGAGGAAAGCAGGTCAGTTGGCCCATCCTGAAGAATTCAACAAGCATTGACCACGATGATTTCCAGAGGGAACTGCGTGGACCGCGTGGAGGGCAGTTAGACCCTATTAGCGCAGGCGGGGTTACTATTTGATTATCCTTTAAAAAAAAACCTATAATATCTTTTCTGGGCTTTTTTTTTAATGTATCATAATGGAGTAGTACCCCGCCTGCACTATCGGTTTACGCTAGCGGAGCACCAGTGAGGGATAATAGGTAGATAATAAAAAAGCAAGTCAGTTAGCCCATCGTGATGAATACATCTGGAATTTGACACGGTTCCAGGGGGAACCGTGTGGAGGTCGATCTGACGAGGTATATTGCTAGTAACGGGATTGGTAGCCCGTATTTCTAACAATCCCTTTCCCCCCACCCCTCTGTGGAGGGCTTTGCTAATAGTTGCCACACTTGACAAGCGAGTTGGCAACCGTACTTAGGTTTTCCTTTAGTCGCCTCTTACGACACCCATGGGAAAGGAAGGAGCGACCCATTCTATGCCGGGACCACATGGCGGTACTATTACCATTCTAATTTTATCCATTAAAAAAAACTTTCTTTACTTTACTGGCCAGTTCACAATTCTGCGATCTGTAATTATGAAAAGTTACAATGTACAGACAAACAGACACAAACAATGCAAATGGTGCGTCGACAATGGCAGACGATGGCCAGTACTCGGCAGGTGTCATTATTGCCACATAGTAATTGATTGGTAACAATAAAAATAAACAGCGCGCTGCGGGTCAACAGAACGCGCGGGCAGTCGACAGCTTGGCGGACTGGTGTTGCCAATCACAAGGTATAAAAGTCCACTAAGGGGTAAATATATTAAGGGGTAAATTATTTTGGTGTCTTAACCGAAATCTTTATATTACAATTGACAATTTAACATTATTATTTTATAATTAAAATTTTGTGTAATATATGATAGACATACACCATACAAATCTTTATAGATTTAATAATAATAAAATAAAAAAAAACTATGACTTTCTGTGTTGGGCTCACAATAAATTATATCAAATAATATATATTATTACATAATACTTATAATATTTCTCATAAGGTTTACAAAAATTATTTACATGTCAAAATACACACACTTCATACCTTGATTTTATTATTATACTCTTTTTTTTTTATTATTTCTGATCATAAATAGTTTTAAAATATTTCATACTGTTCTTTTATATCTGTATTCTATTTCATTCACTCTCTCAATGAAATAGACATATGAATAAATGGTATAAAAAATTGTTATATAAAAAATTACGAACACGGATTCTCTGTTAGATAAATCTGACTCGGATGATTACATAAAAGGTTAAACATATGTGATAATTACGTAAATCACTTTACTAAACAAGTGACACAGTGACAAAATGGTTAAAATATAGATAAATAAATAATAATAAATATATATATCATTGGTGGGTTTCATATGGGGTGAATAAGGAAACGTAATGGTCGAAGAATGGGCAGCATATGACAGTTAACGGCTAATATGACGATATATATCATTGGACTTATTATATAACACCATTTATGCAACAAGAAAAATTATGAAAAATAGTAACTGTCGCTTTTAGATATAAACAGCATCAAATTATATAAAAAATGTACCTTAATTATATTTGTAATGTTATATGAATTCATAACGATTTATCTATTAATGACTATTTTATACCTCTAAACAGTCACTGCTTGAAACTTTTTATTGAACTTCGAATGCTAAATGCAAAGAAGTCCAAAATATATTGTGATGATCATGCTTTCCCTAAGATTATAAGCTGTTATAACTTCGTTACCCTGTAATTTGATTACCGTTCAAATCAAAACATACGCCATGCAAGCACAATTGATCGCAGAAACATGAGTAGAACTAAAATGTACAAGCACAGGACTTTTGTATAATTTCAATATGTAAAGTAAAATTTGATTAGTTCCGTTTTGTAATCAATAAGAACACTTTATTTAGTACATAATTTTACATAGTATAAAACAAAATCGCTTCCTACCATCTCTCGTTTAGATCTTTCGAGTTACGCAACGGATTATAATGCAGTTTTCATCAGTAGATTGATTGATTGATTCTAGTGGAATGTACATGTATAATATAATATAAAACATGCATACTATAATAAAAAAAGTCGATAATTCCAAAAATTTGCAATGTTATATCCAAAACATGTTTTTGTGCGCTTACATTGCAAACGCCGGCTATATCTTACGAATAACGTCAGAATATTGTGCTATAGAGTTATATATCTTAAATAAATCTACAAAAAAAATCCGCGATGATAATTATCTATCTCCTAAGAATAACCTACACAACTGCAGTAACCATTTTTTTTTTATTACAAAAAATAATTAATTATTTACAAAGCTATTTTAAACAATACAGTATTATTCCTTACCCAACTAATTACGGTAGATACGTTGTACTTTTATTAAATACTTAAATTGCCCTTTACAGCATATCATTAAAATGTATCTTAGAAGATATTAGAGATTTAAAATGCGCTGGTGGAGCGGCCGTCGAGCTGTACATTTAGTCTAAATGTATGGCCCATGCTAAGCAGGAGCGAGTTGCTAGTATGTTATAATTTAAATCAAATTAATTGATCTCCAAAATTCTTGGGGAAATTCCTGCGCTGGCAATCCAACTGAAACCGCGACAAGTGACAGTCCCCCTAGCGCACGGAGCGGCAACATCGCTCAATCGATCCACATCACGTTCAGTTGGCGGTTCGAGCCGTTGTTGCCGTTCCACGTGAAAGCCCGCATTTCTGTTCTGTTTCCTCTTCGACTGACTTCAAGAAGTAAAAAGTCCTCAATTCGATTGTAGTTTTTTTATATTTGTCACACCACAACTTCGCCAGTTGTAAAGAGATTTGGAAAATTATTTTTTTATCTGCAAGTATTGTATTGTAAAAATTAAGCACTGATAAATGATTTATTATACAATGGCGGACTTATCCCATAAAGGGATCTCTTACAGTCAACCTTTGAGAAGCTGAAAGAAAACTGTAGAATGTATAACCGTACAATTAAAGATAAACTAAATAATACGCAGTAAAAAATTTTATATATAATACATTAAAGTAGGTTTTATATGGAACTCAATTTCTTTTTTTCCACAGAATGGATGAAAAAAAAATGTGTTAGACATTAGACGTTTACATTTTTATAAAACAAGATTTACAATTAATATACGCCAAGCGTTTTTATAATGGTTGCTGTTTTTGAGGTTTTGTCTAAACATTTTCCTGTCTGGTTTAGTAAACAGTTTTAAGGTCAATTCTAGCATCCAAAATTAATAAAAGTTGTACGTAATACTTTTTGACTACTCCATCGGGGATTGCAGTCGTAAGCATATATTTTATTAGCCAATGCCCGTGACTTCGTTTGCGTAGAATTGAATTTTATATCTCTAAATTGAAAAATATATTGATTCTCCATACAAACGTGCAACCCCATTTTCATCGCTTTCAAGTTTTACATTCGTGATACAGTGTTCTTCTCCAAAGTTCAATCTATCTTTATACCACAACTTATTAAAATTGGTTTAGTACCCCGCCTGCACTAACGGTATACGCTGGCAGGACACCAGTTAGGAATGATAAGTGAGGATGGAAAGACAGGTCAGTTAGCCCATCGTGATGAATACACTTGGAATTCAGCACGATGGTTTCCAAGTGGGACCACGTGGAGGTCGACCTGATAGGATATATTGCTAGCAATGAGACTGGTAGTCCGCATTACTAATAATCCCTTTCCCCAATGGTTCAGTGGTTTAAACGTGAGAAGGTGATAGACTGATAGAGTTTGTAAT